TTAAAAATTGAGTAAGATAAACAATGATTTGTTTAACACTTTGAATATGAATAATTTTACCACTTAATGAAATTTTGCGGTGTACGAGAGTAAGAACTTGTTGATTGTCAACATTTTACATAGTGTTATGGACTTCTGACCTAATGTAAGAGACAAGAGAATGAGAGAAAACTCAACAAATATCTTTCAATAGTTCTAAGAATGTAAGTTTCATATTGACTACTATATATTTAAAGCAATTTTAATTTTACAGGTCGCTTCTGACTGAATATTTATGATAAATATAAATAGTAATCATACTGAATGTTATCTACAAACTAATAATTCCCAGATTCGTTTAACACGTACTCTAGTAGTCACGAACAGACCAGAAATCAAGAAAAAAAAGTAAGACTGTGAACACACGTGCAGGTTTTATATTGTAACTCGAATAAACCGGGCAATAAAGCACAAAGTAATTATCATTTTACACAAACATTAATTGGCGTATTGCATATGTTATGAAATTGATACAACTTAAGACTTCAAACTGAAAGAAAAATCTGTACCTAAAGTAAAAAATTAGCAAGCTGATAATAGGATTATAAACTGAAATTTTGCATGCACTAAACTCTAACGATATTCTGAAAGGAAACTAGGCTAAACTTAGTTTAAGCCAAGATGGATAGTGGCTAGTAGTGGAGTCCAGGACGTGCGTTTCATCCTATTTGGGACTCTTCAGGTGGATGCACCTGCACCTCAGAGTTGATGTTCACTCTGAGACTCGAACTCACTACCGTTCGCTTCAAACGCCATCGCATTACCCACTTATTTACTGAGTTCTGATAGCCACTTATTTGTCCAACGGGGTGAAGTTTAAATTCACTTGGTATTGTTTTACTTGAATCTTACCATTGATGTTTAGGACTGCAATTTATCAGTCGCGTGTTGGCGAATGTGCATTCTGTGTGTATTGCCTTCATTCACAATATCGATGCAATACACACAACGGTTTTAAACAATCAACGTAAAATGATAAGGAATATAATCCCTATACGAAATAAGAACGTGAATGTGTTGGGATACTCAGAAAAATATCCCAAAAACAATTATCCGGTTAAGTCTAACGCTACCCTTGAACGTTAAATGGTGTCATTTCCCTATTGGTCGTTTCCCTACTGATCAATATTTATTTCGCGTGTCATTTTCCTATTGGTCAATATTATTTAACGTGTCATCTTTCTGTTGGTCAATATTTATAGTAATCCTAACTGTATGAATATGCATTTGTTTGTAAATCATTATTCTGCTGCTCCTGACCCCATAAACGATTTTCCATCTACGGTTCGTGTTCTGATATATTGGAGATTGGGAACAGTATTGGGGTCGAACTGGGATATCTGAAGCTTGTCAATCGGTAGAATTTAGAGTAGCCAACTCGCGATTCACAATAATTTGGCGACGGAGATTTAGCAACAAGTTGGTGATTAACTATGGATCCAGCCAAATTAGAAAAATTGTTCGAACAGCAGCTGAAGCTGATGGAGATGATTACTCAGACGCACATATCTTCTCGAGTCCCAACTACACCGATAATTCCTGAATCAGTTGATGGTATTACCAGTGGTATTTCAGAATTTTTTTATGATCCTGATGCCAACATTACATTTGATACATGGTTCAGACGTTATGAAGACCTTTTCAAAGTTGACTTTGCTGACAGAGATGATTCGTGAAAGGTGCGTCTTCTTCTCTGTAAACTTGGTCCATCCGAGCTGGATAAGTATTGCGACTTCATTCTACCGCAGAACCCACGCGACTGTTCATTCGACGACACTATTCAGTCCCTTAACCAACTTTTTGGTGATCATCACTCACTCTTCAGTACACGATATCGCTGCTTAAAACTGGTCATGAATGAGTCCGATGACTTCCTGACCTACGTCGGCATTGTTAACCGTCAGTGCGAACGGTTCAAGCTCAGATCCCTCACTGAAGACCAATTCAAGTCCCTAATACTCATATGCAGTCTTCAGTCACCCAAATTCTCCGACACCAGAACTCGATTGCTTAACCGCCTTGAACAAGACCCAACACTGACACTCAATGCGATCATAGACGAGTACCAGAGCATCATCAATCTGCAGCGTGACACCACTTTGGTCCAAGCTGGGGGCCAGTGTGGTTCCGAAGTTCATGCTGTTCAGCACCAGAAAATATCTTCGAGATCGACAACCTAGAGTCCTCTGAACGCCAGCGCTGTTTCTGTCTTTAATCACTCTAAACCGGCTCAGAAGAAGCCCCCCTCGCCATGTTGGCACTGTGGAGCCTGGCATTATGTGAAGTTCTGTCCATTCAAACAGCATGTGTGCGATCTCTGTCAGAAAGTTGGTCACAAAAGCGGCTTTTGCAAATCCAACCGATCCAATAACCGTCGAAATACACAGACGCAGCGTCGTTTTCACAAAAAGCCGATTACCTCATCAAGGAGTTTAGCAGCAGTCTTCCATAGTCATGCCGCGACTCGACGCAAATTTTTGACCCTCTCTATCAATGGTCAGCCAGTTCGTTTGCAGTTGGACACTGCATCAGATATCACCATCCTGTCGAAAAAGACTTGGCGAATCTTGGGCCAATCTCCCATCAAACCATCTTCTCAGGCAGCCGTCAGTGCCTGTGCGGGTCATCTCCGCCTTCATGGTGAACTCTATTGCTGCATTTCATTCAGAGGTACAACCTTCAATGGGACATGCTACATCACCAATTCTCCGCTCAACCTTTTAGGTTTAGATTGGTTCGAAGAACTTGGTCTCGTTGATCTTCCTATTAGCGCTATCTGCAATCAAGTCCAAACTACTGCTTCTACACAACAGCATGCTGAAGAACTTCGAAAACGATTTATTGAACTATTTAAGCCTGGTCTCGGACTTTGTTCCACAACTGAAGCTGTTTTAAAACTGCAGCCAGAAGCTACACCAGTTTTTCGCCCAAAGCGTCCAGTCCCATACGCATCTTTACCTCTGGTTGACGCTGAACTTCAGCGTGTGGAAACTAAGGGTGTCCTCGTACCTGTTTCTTATTCATCATGAGCTGCACCAATTGTGGTTGTAAAAAAATTCAATGGTTCTATACGCATCTGTGCAGACTTTTCCACAGCATCACTATCCGCTGCCGATCCCAGATGACTTATTTACTATTTTAAATGGTGGTACCTACTTTGCTAAGCTGGATCTGGCAGATGCTTACCTTCAAATTCCAGTCGCTCTCGAATCGAGAGAGTTGTTGACAATCAACACTCATCGAGGACTTTTTCAGTACACCCGGTTACCCTTCGGTATCGAAACTGCTCCAGAGATCTTCCAGCAGATCATGGACACTATTCTGGCAGATGTTCCTGGTGTTGCTACACACCTTGACGATGTGCTCATTGTCGGCTCAACTGCTGATGAATTGCATACCAGAACCCACTTAGTTCTGCAACGCCTCCAGGATAATGGTTTTCGCCTGCGCCCAGAAAAATGCCAATTCTTCTTACGTTCCGTTAAGTAACTGGAGTTTATCTTTGATGCTTCCGGACGACACCCTGATCCTCAAAATACTTACGCAATCCAACAAATCCCTGCTCCCACTGATGTCTCCTTAGTCCGATCATTTTTGGGAATGATTAGCTACTATTCAGCATTTTTTACATCACTGCATGACTTACGATATTCATTAAATCGTCTGCTAGAAAAGAATGCTACTTGGAATTGGTCAACGCAAAGTGAGTCAGCCTTTTCAAAACTTAAAGCCATGCTAAGTTCCAATCTTCTGCTAACCCACTACAATCCGAAACTACCCATTGTGGTTGCTGCTGACGCTTCAGCACATGGACTGGGTGCCGTACTCTCACATGTCTTTCCCGACGGGTCAGAGAAAGCGGTGATGCACACTTCGAGAACACTAACACCTGCTGAGAAACGCTATGGCCAGATAGAGAAGGAAGCGTTAGCCCTATTTTTTGCTATCCGGCGATTCCACAAATTCATTTATGGGCGCCGTTTCACCTTGCTCACAGACCATAAGCCGTTGTTATCAATCTTTGGATCAAAGAAAGGCATTCCTGCCCATTCGGCTAATCGTCTTCAACGTTGGGCGTTATTGGGGTACGACTTCGACATCCAGTATCGACGTTCCGAAGATTTTGGTCAGGCGGATGCACTGTCCAGACTTATCAGTGACCATTCTACCACTGGTGAGGACACACTCATAGCCATAGTATCAACCGATAAAGATTCCAGTGCTACACTATTAGCGAATGCCATTCGAGCAATGCCTGTTACCGCTGAAGATGTTCGAGAAGCTACCAGAGAAAACCCGATTATCCAAGAAGCGATCACCTATGTTCAAAGCAGATGGCCAGTTAAGCAGCTGAGTGGTGATATGCAACAACTAGCGAATCGTCGCAGCGCTCTCTGTATTGTTAACGATTGTCTGATGTTCGGTGATCGCGTAGTAATTCCAACAACCCTACGTTCCAAAGTCCTACTCCAATTCTACTCTGGACACCCAGGGATATACCGTATAAAATCCATCGCTCGCAGCTATACATATTGGCCAAATATGGACAAGCAGATTGTTGACTTCGTCAAAAGATGTTCACATTGCCAAAATGCTGCGAAAAATCCTCCTAAGTTGCCTCCAGTACCCTGGCCAAAGTCAGAAAAACCCTGGTCGCGAGTGCGTATTGACTTCACTGGACCCCTAGATGGTACCACATATCTGATACTGGTTGACTCACACTCCAAATAGCCGGAGATATTGCCGATTGCGCTACCCTCTACAACTCGAACCATCAAACTCCTTAATCAGATCTTCGCTCAGCATGGTCTTCCAGAAACAATAGTAACAGACAATGGTTCACAATTCACATCTAGCCAATTCCGAGAATTTCGCCTGCAAAATTCGATCAACCATGTTCGCTCTCCGCCATATCACCCACAATCTAATGGACAAGCTGAAAGGTTCGTTGATACACTTAAACGAGCCATTCTTAAAGCACGAGGGGAAGGGACCACAGAAGATATCATAGAACGACTCCTAGTTGCGTACCGGACGACCCCGCATGACTTATTGCCAAACTCCAAATTCCCTGCTGAGATGCTTATGGGGCGAAAACTACGGACAGTTTATTGTGCGATGAAACCCAAGCAAGTGGCCCAGCAAAGCCCCCGATGAAGAATACCCGAATTCCCTACGAAGTTGGCACAAAAGTGTATGCGCGAGATTATAGACACGGATGCGATAGATGGATAGAGGGTGAAATCACAAAAAAACATGGGGACGTCATGTATGATGTCAAAGTGAACCAAGAAATCTGGACCAGGCACCACAATCAACTCAGGTCAAGGGAAGCGAAGGAGAAAGAAGCAATTACAAAACGCGTCCCACTCGACTTGCTGTTGGACACGTTTCAACTTCCGCCAATACCTCCAACAGAGACGACTAAGTCATCTACTGAAGTAGAACATCCTTCTGGTTCTGTGTGGTTGCCTCGGAGGTCGGATCGCAAAAGAAGACACCCAAAGAAACTCCAAGTAAACCCTCGGTTACGTCGCTATTAACTTCTCCAAAGAGGAGGTGTTGGGATACTCAGAAAAATATCCCAAAAACAATTATCCGGTTAAGTCTAACGCTACCCTTGAACGTTAAATGGTGTCATTTCCCTATTGGTCGTTTCCCTACTGATCAATATTTATTTCGCGTGTCATTTTCCTATTGGTCAATATTATTTAACGTGTCATCTTTCTGTTGGTCAATATTTATAGTAATCCTAACTGTATGAATATGCATTTGTTTGTAAATCATTATTCTGCTGCTCCTGACCCCATAAACGATTTTCCATCTACGGTTCGTGTTCTGATATATTGGAGATTGGGAACAGTATTGGGGTCGAACTGGGATATCTGAAGCTTGTCAATCGGTAGAATTTAGAGTAGCCAACTCGCGATTCACAATAGAATGAATGCTTGAGTTTTAATGTTCTGACATTTAATAAGATGTTTACGGTCAACTCTTAAACAACCAACCTAGGTTATTACAAACACAGGAGTAAATACAATCCACTTGGTATTGTTTTACTTGAATCTTCCCGTTATCCACTATCTACCTATGCTTATAATGCTGGTGAATTAAGCAATATCGAGGTAATACACACAGTATGTACATATGCCAACAAGAGGCTGATCAATTGCAGTCCTAAACATGAATGGTAAGATCCAAGTAAAACAATACCAAGTGAATTTGAACTTAGTTTAGTTTACAGGTTTATCTAGACAAATGACATATTTTAAGATAGCTGAGTAATTTAATCTGAAGTTATAGGAAAAACACATAAGCCTTTTTGCAGCTTAACGTGATCTGATAAATATGATCGTGACGTGGACTTCAGGCATAAAAATATTTTCAGTGAGTCACATTTTACATATCACAGATCACCTGCCGATAATTAGGATATCATTTACATATTGAACGATATATCAGACTAGGCTGTTTGAGTCTTATGGAAAAACCTAACCAGTATATTGTGTAAAGCATATTTCAGATCAAGTGTCAACAGTAGTTGTTATGATAACGTTGACTTCATTCATGTAATAATAGAACAGTAGAATGTATTATGATACAAATATCAGATGAATATCGTGAAGACCATTTTTCTTCTTACTAGGCAATTAGTGATCGATCCAAGTTACTGGAAAACAAAATAATTAAAATAAATGTATTTTTCTGGATTCCATTAGTTCACTTCCCGAGCTTAATTGTTAATACCTAACTAACCCCAAATGTTTTGAAACTGTCACTGTTATTTCACTGAGCACACGTACAGAGATCATTAAAACCCAAAGCACATCCACAAATTTAAATGTGTGAATAACAAAAATTATGTTTTATATGTATGACCATAGTTTGAAAATACTGGTAGCATTGTTATCAGTCACTGATTTACAAATATGAATGAGTAGACTAATATATTATTGATAATTTCTGGTTTATATTTATGTAAAGTTAAATATACAAAAAAATTATTTCATTTGATAAATATGAGTGATGAAACGCATGTTCAAAGTATATGTCACCTACTCACAGCACACTTACACTTCATATTTTTTAATGTTAAATATCCTACAACAGAGTAATCAGTCAGCAATTGAATGACATAATTCACTACTTAGAGGTAATAAGATTTCCATGTGATATTTGCACACAGATATTAGGAGAATTTTTCTTGTATGATATAAAAGATGCTCAATATTCATTCAATGATTCTACATTATGTGTTTATGATTAATGAATAAGTTAGTTTTACATTAGGTGGCAACCATCATATATATACAACAAGGTAACAAATGTATAGACAAACGTAGAATGTTGTGCACAAGTCGCTTACGTCCTGACTCACACGAACGACAAATAAGATAGGATGAAAATATGAAAAATCCCTTATTACTTGACAATAGAATGAAAACTGTGATTGGTTCCATTATGTATGGAGATGGTCTATATAATAATTATATCCCTGTAGGTCGACAGAAATACCACAATTTTTAATGTCAGATGATGGATTCGAAGATAAAATAATCACATAAACAGTAGCAAGAAATTGGAGGTGAGACAAATTGAAGGATATAGAGCGGACTGGTAAATTTTAAAGAATATGATGCTCAGCCCATTATTTCAAGATACCAGACAAGCGAAAATAAAGCAATAAGTCTGCGATGCAGGCAATTTTCCTAGAGGTAACATTAAGCAGTTAAAAGTTTTTTAACTGGACACTAGTAGTCGAGACAGATCTCATAACGGAATTGCCCGTCAAACATGGTGTCCGTTAAGGTTAACCGTATCCATACATTTATCTAGTTTTTTTCCACGACTATACACTTAGAAATAGCACTTCATCCGCATGACATTCAAGGGTTAACCTACTATTTGACTCATTAATTACTTTAGTGTCCAGTTAATGTAATTCTGTTTGCTGAAGATGCCGACAATATATGGTGTTCTGAACAGTTTGAGTAACAATACACGAATGCTTGAGACGGGTCACTTTACTTCTTAGTGCAAACTGTTTCAGGACCGCTCTGCATCCAACCCTAGTGTGACCATCGGGTGAAGAGTAAGCAAATTTAGATTGGCTTTCGCACCCATGGGGTAGGAGAGATGCCTATCTACTTGTTAAGGGGCGAGTATACTATGTAGGAGTTTGCTGGGTTTTACTCTATGATTATGAAGTATGGCTTTCAAGAGTAGAATACATTTCTACACTACTAATATTCGATCATAGAGGTCTTCGTGTGTGGTAAAACAACTCACTAAGTAAATATGGCAAGTCAGCTGATGAGGCTGTGAATATTCTTCAACTGAGGTGACTAGAATATGTGTTACATATGCCAAACCAATGACTACCTCGACACGCGATGGTGTTTGGCGTAGGGGCGATCAAAGCAATACATGTCATCAGCCTACAAAGTCATTGAGTGTTGGTCCGAAGTATGTGAGTAGGTACAAAATACGTGGCTGGAATGCGCCTGACAATCGTAATTAGTGGTTGGAGTGGCACATATGGGTTCATTTTTTATCTCGTGTTGATATTATTTCGCGCAAATTGTCATTATTCTTAAGCACGTCCCCTATAGTTAGTCATCTCTCCGTTTATGTAACTTGGAAACGTAGGGTGAGTCAGTTCTTACTCTGGCAACGGCACATCGACTAGATTTCAAAGATATCTTAGAGAGTAGGCGAAGTCGTGGTCGTAGAGCAGACATTAAAGGTTCTTTGGAACCAAGAATACTGAGTGGATATTTTGGAGAGGAAACAACTCAAAGAACAGAAACGAGGATAGTTCAGTTGTTTATAGCAAACTGTTAAGTAGATGGTTTCCTTACTAATCAGAACTAATAGTTTGCATGAGAAATTTTAAATGGACCAACATTTCAGTAGTTGATGTTGAAACAGAACATCTACTATCCTCGCAAACAGGTTATTTAAGTGGGCTAAATTATTGTCGTAAATAAATGATAAAATTGGTGAGTGACAGCATCCATATTTTTCTAAATGTAAACCAGTTTATTTACCAATGAAATATCTTTCAGTTTGTATCAAAAGTAATTCCCAAGAATAATTTAACTAAATTATGATAAATCGTACTTTTTTGAGAAATCACCGTCCGAATGAACTTGTGCCCAAAATCCACATATAAGTATAAGATAATAAGTATTTACGGTTGACATGGTATCCTCAAACTAAAGAATGCTGCCCGCTAATAATTAACTGAAAGAATTCTGAGCACTTAAATTTTAACGTGTAATCTATAATTATGTCGACCCTTCGATATACTATTCCACTGAAAATTCATTAACTTATAAGAGATAAAATCACATTTTGTCACTACATAATCCACAGGTATTCAATGAATAAATACCGAATTTGATTTGCCTATGTAATTTTTAGCATTACACTAAGAAACTGATATCGTGATTCCTGAGACCTCACGAGTCAAAGATCACAGATGACTAAGAATCACTGATTTAAACTAGATAGCATAAAAGTCTAGATATTTCTAAAATATTCACTGATTAGGTAGTGAGGAATCCTATATTAATTATTTACATATTTACCATCAGTAAATGTAAATCGGAATGGGTAAGTTTGGCTCTTGTAAATGATTCGTCTAAAAATAAATGTTCTACAGTTACTATTCATGAGTCCCACGTGTTTATATTTGTATGTCCTACATATTTGTTTAGTAAATGACAGATTGGATAGTTTAAATCATACAAGTCAGAAAATTTGAACTTAGAACTGTGACAGTGGCTCAGTGAAACAATCATAGATGTAATATCTAATGGTTTTCGATTGTGAATTGATATCGACACCAAGTCACAATCTTGGAACAAACATCTGTACTAAGGTAGCAAACGACACTTCGTTGACTAAATTGACAAGAATGTACACAATTACTGTTACGCGTTAAACCAAAGACTTTATGCATCTACTCAGTATCGCGCATATGAATTTTAGTATTATAAAGAATTTTTTACCTTAGGGGCCACCAACATATTGTACACACTTACATTTTGGCTCTAGATAAACAGATCAGTGGAAAATGTAGGAAACACAATGTTCACCATTCTGATAAATGAACGATATATTAAGTAGTAAAACTGTAGTAAGATATATATATGATCAATTAGATAGCAACGTGAAATAGTAAGATAATGGTGTGGAGGGGTATTTGGAATAAACAAATAAACTGTACAACTAAATACCACACATCGTGAAAAATCGAGTTAATTATTAGGTGAGGTATAAAAATGAGCAGCACGGCAATAAAAAAAGTAAACGAACACGATTAGTTTTGCCTTAAATAAGAAGATAAAATAAGTATTATGGGACAGAATATTTAAAAATTGCTTGGTATGTGCGGAGATAGAGTAAGTAGTAGGTAGTATGAACAAAGGTGCAAAAACATGGTCAAGGAAAAAGATTTCTAAGTGGACACAGCCATGAATTTACTTTCAAAACAATATGTATTCTAAGTAAATAGAAGACATTTATTTGAAGCAGACTAATGAAGGTAAATACATAGGATTTAAGAAAGATATTTTAAACATTGCAGTGTAAGGAAATTGACCCAATGTTTTAAAAATAATGGACTGCTAAAAACAGCGAAATTCACATTTGTGAAACTGGTTGTAAAAAGAGGGAGATACAAAGGACCTATAAAACGTAGGTAACAGTAAGGAAAAAAGAAACATAATATCCCATGCCCTACGTCCATACGCAAACAAGTTTGAGGACATACATATATATTTATGTATAAAGGAAA